TCATAATGATTATTTTTAACCTCCCATTTCAAAAAAATTTTTTATTTTTTTCACCACCAATTCCCAACAAAATAAAAAAAAAAAAAAAAAAAAAAAAAAAAAAAAAAAAAAAACTAGAATAAAGCAAAATAAAATTAAAATAAAATAAAATCTCTAAATACACAAAAATTTTAAATTTTCTTAGAGTATAACCACTTATTAGCCAAGCAAGCAAAACTATTCCCTTTATTTTTATTTAATAAAATGTCTAAAAATTTACACGAACGAGCGTTACAAATTAAACAATATAAAGGGTCCGATATCAAATACATTCCCGCGGTTGATCTGCACAACCTCAATTTAAAATCCGCGAAAAGTCTCGTTATTAAAACCATCCAAGAATATTATTCTACCGAAGTGACTTGGATAAGATTTATAACGGGGAGAGGAAATCATCTAAACGCAAAGGGGAAACGAGCAATCCTTTATAATAGCTTTCCAACTTGGATTACAGATGTTAAAATCCATCATTTAATCGAAGATTACGATCAAGGTGATGGATCTTACAAGGTATACCTTAAAACTTCCAAAAAACTAAAAGAAGAATCCTCAACAATTACAATTTTGGATGTAAATGTAATTCGACAGGAAGTTTTCAAACGGTTAGAAACATTGGCCGAAACTGGAAACGTCGATTCTCAATTACTCATCGGACAATTATATTTTGATGGAGTTGGTATTAACATAAAGGAAAAACATGAACAAGCCTTCAAGTGGTTCATTAAAGCGGCCGAACAAGGTGACGTTGGTGCTCAATTGATCGTCGGGAATTTATTGCATGAAGGTAAAGGTGTTGCTAGAAATTATAGAGAAGCTTTTAAATGGTTACTAAAGGCCGCTAAGCAAAATAACGTTAGCGCACAAATTATTGTTGCCAAGATGTATTTCAATGGAGAAGGTATTAAGAAAAGTGATAAAGAAGCTTTTAAATGGATTAAAATGGCCGCCGTAACCAATAATCCTAACGCCCAATTTATCCTTGAACAAATGTGTGCTAAAGGTGAAGGGGTTAAACAGAAAGAAATCGAATTCAGAGAAATTGTAGCCTAAATTAGAAATTTATTTTTATAATTATAAAATCCACCACGATGTAAAATAAATACATGTAATACGTAAATAAAAATAAACTCTCATTTGTGACACAAAAACTCCAATCTCAGCCTGAATTAAGATCGACGGATGATTAAAAAATGGCTATAAATGACAATTGCGCTTTTGGGCTGAGATTAGTGTAACCAAAATGCACATGATAAACTCTTTGTATTCGGAAATTGATTGTCAAGTTTAGCTAAAAAAAAATATCGTTCGGTTTTTTTCACTTCTCTTTGATCTATATCGATATTAATCCTAATGACAATTTTAAATAAAGATTGTCTTTATTTAATCTTTGAAAAGTTAAATGATGATAGGAATTCCCTTCATTCCTGCATTTTGGTTAATAGGTTATGGTGTCATGTGGGCGTTCCGATGCTATGGAAGGAGCCTTGGAAATATGTTGTCTATAATAAAAAATTATTTGATGTGATTTTCTCATTTTTATCAAGTGAATCACAAAATCTTTTAATAAACGAAGGGATCAAAGAATATCCAATTCTGAAACGACCACCTTTATTTGATTATATTCATTATTGTAAATATATGAGGTACTTTAATATTCGGAATATGATCTTATTAAAACTTGGATATGATTATAATAGAAAATCTCAATATAAGATCATCGAAAAGGAAATCTTTAAATTATTCATTAGGAAATGTTTTGATATTAAAGAACTTCAGATCATTGACATCGAATTAGAATTACATAATTTTCTTGGAGCGGAAAATTGCTTTTCAAACCTTTGCAAATTAATATGTGATACTTCTATTAATTCAAATATTTTCTTTGGATTGGCAAGAATTTGCAAATCCATTGAATTTCTCTTTCTCAGCCCTTGCTTAAATGATAATGAAGGATTAATCGAGTTAATCGAGGTCCAAAAGAATTTAAAATATTTAAGATGTAAAGGCACAAAAGATCAATTTGAAAATGGTCAATGTGATGGAATCGAAAAGGCCTTGAAGAAGCAGTGGCATACTTTAATTCATTTCTCTATTGATAACTTATGTTTTAATCCAACAATCTTTCCCATCTTCAAAAATTTACAAAAACTTGAAATAACCGAAAAAAAACATGTATGCCTCAATAAAGGTTATTATAGAAATTTATCAAAATCAAAGTATTCAAATCTTCAAATTTTAATAACGAAGAATATCACACATAACATAGTTGAAAAGATCATTGAAAAGACTAATGGATACCTTTGGAAAATTGATATCACTAACGATATGCATGAGAAGATTGATCACGAAAATTTTATAAAGATAATTTATCAACATTGTCCAAATATCAAATTGATTAATATTTTAATTCATGAAAATAAAAATTTATTAGAATTGGAGCAATTGCTTTTAAATTGTCAATACTTGGAAGGAATTGTCATTGAATCCCCACCAATTTATAGAAGCCTAGATGAAAGAATTAATGGGAATGAATTATTAGAAATCATAACAAGGTCAGCTCCAATTGGCCTTCATAAGATCAAGGTATATAAAAATTTGGAAATTTCTTTGAATTCTTTAATAACATTTTTTGATAATTGGAGAGGTAGAATGCCACTTTACTTCCATACAATAATGAGTTATTCGAAGCTGAACAAGGATTACCTTGACATAATTGAAAAATATGAAAAGGAGGGTATTTTAAAGGAGTATAAAGATTTAAATAATTATCCAAGCCCCGTAGGATGGTAAAATTAATGTTAAAATAATTTATCTGAAAGTGCAATTGAAAGATTTCAATTTTTCTTTATTATAGTAAATGTACGATTTAATTAAAAATTAAAAATTAAATAATACATACATTTGTAATCAATTCTGCTTATCGAGTATTGTTAATACTTTTTCCTAATTATAATGATATTACATTCATTTGAATTGAGTGTATTTAATACTGGAAGGTTTGGGTGCGGGACGAGACAATAAAGATAAACCAAATAGGTGCGTGAATTTCATTTGAATCTTTAGTACTCAAAAGATTATGAGCATCCTGTCGTTTCTCAACCTTTTATTAACGTTTCCATAATAAATCGGTGGGCAAACGAAACAGAGATAAAAGATTGCGCTTTATTTAAAGATTTCCATTCTCGAATGTTCTGTATATTAATTAATATAGTGTTTAGGAGGATGATAAAATGTGGAAGAAACATGATTCAATTATTATCAATGGCAGTAAAGTAATAATTGAATCAAACCTACTTATGAATTTTTCTAGGTTTCATATGCTCTGGATCACTTAAATTAACAAATATAAAAATGCCGTTGACGAAATTCTATCAAAAAGTCATGAATAGGATCTGTATGCATTTTTAGATTTTCTTGTAACTTCAAATTGATGCCATCGTTCCTGACATATGGTTCCCCTCCAAATTTCCATGGAGTAAGTTAATCATCTCACCTCTATTAAAACAGATTAGAACAACAAATGTTATCACGAACATCGAAAATTAAAAATTTCACTTGGAGATGTTGATATGGGATAAACCATTATTATATCGACAAATCTTTAAAATTCATCAGGTTATATTGAATATATTAATCTTTACAACATCCTGATTTCCATTACACAATTTTAGTAACGCAACAGATTAAACAACATTTTATCATGACAAAATAACTTTTCCTCCCGCTTCTTAAGCAGGTGATCACATATAATGAACTTCCCACTGGTAATTATACACTTTTCATAACGCAAGAACAATAGAGATCCCTTCAAAAGAGTTTCTGCTACGTACCAAATAGAAGAACTCCTTTTCATTATTGTTTCCTAATATAGAAATCCACGAGATAATTTTAGAATACATAAAGTCAGCTTAAATATTGTTTTACTTACCTGTTTAAAGTTTGTTATATTTTATATTGTTTAAGTTTGATACTTCTTTTGGTGTAATAAATGAATGAGGATTGTACATGTGTAGGTAAACGTTATTTATATTTGACTTATTGATTAAACAAAATGATAATGTGAAATAACATCTTTGTAAATTTGACAATGATAGTGAATAGCTTAAGAACGATTCAGTTATGACATTATCTAATTGTCATCATTGCATTTTGAAGAGATTTTTTAATTTTTCTTCTGGATAATTGTCTTTTTATTAATAAAAATTATGCCAAAGGTACAAGAAAATGTTAGTTTCGCAATTTCTAATATTTATCATTGAAGTTAGTTTAAATAATAAAAAATTATTATGAAATTATAAAATAAATTTGTGAAATGTTGTCATATTTATAATATCCTGAGAATATAGTCTCTCGTCATTGCATCGTATGATTTAATTAATAAGTTTTGCTGTAGTAACATATTTTTTGGACTTTATAAAAGGGAGTTTTTGTGATTGATTCCTTTGAAATGTAACTATGAAAGGTTTATATTTACATTAATATTGGTTTCTAAATGTTTTAATTCATTTTAAAATAGAAACAAATTTAATAATAAATATATCTATACAAACGTGATAACTACTGTACATACTATTGTATATATGGCAGGGATAAAAAAATTTTATACTGGCCAATTGAGATGAAGTAAAATTTTATTAGAACTGTAAAAAATAATCGGTCTATCGGCCAGTATATAATAATACAGTATATTAGTAATGCTCTGTAAGGGTCGAGTTTGTAACAGATTCGAACTCGAATTCGTCAATACTTTTACAGAACTCGAATTCAACTCGACCGAATCAAATTAATGCCGAATAATATATTTTTGCAATTATGTGAATTGATTTAATAATGATAAATTTTTTATTAATACGCGGATAATGATTTGATTGCAAGTAAGTATAATAGTTAATTTAAATTATAAACTTTAAGTTTATTTATTGTATCGCCATATATTTGTTGTATTTGAGTTTTTATCTTGCGGAGTCACCTCTAAAATTTATTATAAAAATGTAATAAATTAAATTAAGTTCCTTTTTAAATAATACTCACGAGCAGCTAAGACACCTAACTTCTGAAATAAAGATTCAAAACTCTTTAATAAAGAAGCTTTTCATTTACTTTATATCATTTTAAATCAAACCCAGTTACTGATTTTATCAGGAATTTTGTCGTTTGAAATCGTTAAGTATTCTAGGTGAAGAAAAGCGTGTATCATCAAACGCTGTATCATTTAATCACATCTAAGAATGTGTCTCTATGTAGCAAGGAAATGGCTCAATGAATGCTATTTTAAGATTATTCCAGAGAAATTTTGCACATAGGTATACAAATCCCTAGACCATTAGTTGATAACAAACACCTTGAACCGAAGCTCGTGGGAATATATGTACGTGGCGTGGAAAAAATCTGACTTTAGCGTCTAATCAGAGTTACAAGGAAAATAGCTTATGAATTTTTATTAGATACGCCACTATCGAACAAATGAAATTAAGGTACGAAACCAAACATAAATCAATCTAATACAAAAACTTATAAGTGCCATAGCTGGGATTTTCAGGTGCAAACCACTGAAGAAATTCGGAGACCTTTTTTGTGTTCATTTCACCGCACGTGATTTGTAATTTGACCCGAACTTATTCGGATTGAACTATTATTGAGGTTTGCACATATTTTTTTGTAGTAAGAAAAATAAGTAGTAATTATAAAAAATTTTCTTTATGAATAGCGAAATGTTACTGGTTGCGGATCTAAAATTTATAGTTTTCAGATGCTGATCTAATTTTTTTACTTGTTTATTCTATTAAATTTGATCTGAAATAAATAACCGATTTTTTATGAAACCGTGAAGGAAGGCTTCATTACGCAAATTCAACTGTTGTGTTATTAACCAACCTTTAAAACATTTTGAGCACAAATTTATTCGCAAATTCAAATAAAGTTGAAGTCTATCTATATTACTGCGCCAAACATCGGTATCAAAACAATTTTCAGTCGTACAAACTATATTTAATAATGAACTTAATTCAAACATTATACTGCATTTTATTAGTCGTCACAAAATTTTTTATCAACATCGGGAAGAATTTTTGAAAAATGTAAATTTATTATAAACCTAAACTAATTGTATATATTTTTGTACATTGATTAAATTTAGATCATGTGAGCGTTTCTCTGTCCGCCACGTGATTTTCGTCCAATGAATCGGTCACCGTTTCCTAGTTATATTAAATTATACAGGAGAAGTTGTCGCGCAAAAAAGTGATATTACCTCTGCATGTTATAAGTCGACATGTCCTATGGTGACGCGTTATTGTAATGATTGTAATTAACGTTGATAGGAAGCATATCGTTTCCCTCAACTTCCCTCGTTACACCATCTTCTTTTAATTCTTTCAAGTATTTTATGTCTACTACATATTCTCTCAAGAAAACTTCTAAGGAATTAACACGATGTAGTAACGCTATAAGTTCTTCACGAGAATTTTCTCGTGAAATATTTAATATTTCAGGATTACTGTTAATTAGTGGGATTACCGGAAGTTCTTTTCGAAGTTTATTTTGGGTTCTGTTGCGTAATCCACAACTATATTGCACACAACCCCAAGGACGGATCACGTTTGTTCCTGTTTATTATAATTAAAGTCAATGATGGATTATAATTTTGAATTTAAAAGAAATTAATTATAAATTTGTTACCAAATAAAACCACATATAATGCCGAGGCTATACCATAAGCACCACCCACGAGACCGAACATGCTGAATACCTATTTAAAATGGAATAAGGGTTTAAAAATGCACTTCAACTTGAAACAAACTTATCAAAACTTTCCTTACAGTTCGTGTTCTAAAATGTTTGGTAAAGAATGTGTTAATAAAGGAGTTCGTAACAAACTTGTAATTTTACGCACGTTATCGGAAATGATCCATACCTTTGTTCAGTCTCTACGTTAATGAAGAAATATTGTGCATTTAAAAGAATTCTACTACTTAAGACTCCGTCGGTTAAGGTATTTAATTCAATAGGTTCAGTCTCTATTTCAAAAAAAAAAATAAAAATAAAATATGATGGCGATATAATTACAATGATCATAAACGACTATCATCATTTCTAATATTACTTACGAAAATTGGACATAATGTAAGGTTTTTCTTTATAATTTGAAGAAATTCCAAAAGTAGATTTGAACGCTGAATTAATTACATTTCTTAGATGTCTATTAAAGCTTATACGTGCCCTCTAAAATAATTTAACAATATTCATTAAGGAAATTTTTATTATAAACAAAAAAAAAAAACTTTATTAATATCAATCTTACCTGCCCTCTAGGCACATAATACATATTATTTGTGACACATTCTCTTATATCGTTAGGCAAATGATCAATAGCTGAGCTATTAAGTTCACCATTTGGGAGTTTTAGAGGATTTTTTTCTAGATAATAGTAAATTTTTTTTTAATATAAAATAAAAAATAAAATAAATAAAACGAAAAATAATCATAATTAACTAATTTACCAGCATCAAGAATTACTATCAGTGGCGATTCGGGCTTAGCAATAGAAGCATCTACGTCTATTGATACTTCTACAAATGCTATGGCATCTGGATTTATGTTTGGATCCTCGTAATATAATATATTTTCATGTGTGAAATAACCATAATAATCATCATCTTCTTCAGCATTCTTTGGTTGGATTAAATAGTTATTACAACTATCATCCGCTCTTACATCGTCTAGCGCTATGTCAATCCCCACTACAAACAGAAATGTTATTTTAAATTATGTTTAAAAATTTTCTATTTTTATTTGTTGTTTTGCTTTAATACTTACGATAAAATTTACAACTCAACCTGAATGGGGTGTGCATATTAAATAACATCTCTTAAAACAGAATCTAATTAATGAAATTGATTACATTGGTGTTTTTCCTTTCGCATATACTTTTACTTACCAGGGACTGGTATTTGATGTGTATTTTTGGTACTATGCTGCATGACAGGATCATCATGAAACAAGTATTTAATCAAGAACGCAGTATATATTATGAGGAAAAGCGCTAGGAATGTCAAACTAAATGCTCTTAAACAAAAAACAATTATGGGTTCCGTCTTTCGACGTCGAGAGAATATTTCATTATAATACATTATTTTTTTTTCTTTTATTTTTTTAATCCTTTTTTTTAAAAAAATAAAAAAAAATAAAAAAAAAATAAAAAAAAATAAAAAAAATATAAAAAAATAAGAAAAAAGACAAATTTACGTTTATTTATTAAATTTGAGCTTTCGACTATATTAGTCATTTTGTAATTCGGATTTCGGAGTTTTGTAACATGCGAAACAATTCACAATCCACGCATCAGGTTTTATTGTACTTCTAACATAAAAAATATAAAAATTTTTTCAGCCCAATTATTGGTTGGTGTGTCACAAATAGATCCTCCCTTAAAAAAAAAAAATTTGAACATGCTATATCCTCCAGTTGAAGATCATCACAATAGAAAACTTTTTTTTTGTGTTACAAAGGTTTGTTGTCAACTGGCGAAAATTAAATTATGTAGTATTCGATTCAATTCGTTTGAGTAAATTATTCTTACGTTTAGGTGATTAACACAAGAATCAATGATTTGTTCTATATAATAGAGGTAAATGAAAGGAATATATATTTTATTTATCAAAATGCAAGTGTCCATTAAAAATTTTTCAAATTTTACTGTTCATGATATCATCATGTAAGGCAGAAATTTTTGGTAATGAATAATTTCTGGGAGTGTTAGCTAAATTTGATAGTTAGTACAATTTTTATCTACATAGACATCTTTACCCATAATGTATATAGACATAGAAATATACATTAATATCCGTTTAAAGCCAAGTGCCTAAATAATTATATTAAAATATTTTTATTCTGATTCCTAAACATAGTATTCGAGTGTTACTTAAGATGGTAGCACAAATTATATTTATTTTTTTTCTTTGTCGTTTTCGAATTAGTGTGATCAGGTGATTCGTCGATCAATTAAAAAAAAATACCGAAAACAAACAAAAATAAATTAAAAAACACTAGAAAATATTTAAATAACACTTAAAAAAAATAAAATAAAGTAATATTAAAACACAAAGATAAATGTTACGTTAAAAATAATAAATTATATAATAAAATTAAACAATTTTTTCGTTCTCATTATGAAAAAATAAAAAAATCCTTCCATAAAATAAATAATTTCTCTAGTAATTTAAAACATCAAATATTTCTAAATATATTTATAACAAGAACATAACAATTATTGCATTTTTCTAAAAAATCAAAAATTTCAAATTATTATAAAAATGATAAAACTCATCCAAAAAACCATTTCTCATTACTTAAAATATATTTTATAAAAAAAAAGTTAAGTATAAGCTAAAATGAAGCTTTTAGAAGAAAACTTACTTAGGAATCACAACAGAAATCTCGCAAATAATTGTAGTAATCACTAGGGAATCATTTTGAAATCACTAGGAAGCTAGGAATCGTTTTATAAGCTAAAAGAAACTTCTACATATTAAACCTCACTAATACAAAAGGCTCAAAT